TTTTTTTTTTTTTACAGTTGTGCTGTGTAGTACATGAATGAATAAAAATGTGCCAATGTATACATTGGTTGTGTCTTTTGTGTTCATGTGAAAAGGTTTTTGAGGGGGAGAACCACAAGCAACACAACTTACCAGTTTTGGATATATTGTTATGAATTTATTGCACCAGTGTGTAATACTATGTTGTAGTGTGTGTGTTTTTGAAAGCTTGTGTATGATGTCTGAGGGAAAAGTTTGGTTTTTCAGCAAGAGTGAATGGTTTTGAGTGTAGAGCTTCATTTTGACCTGAAAATAGGATGTTTGGGGAATTGGGTGAGACGTTATGGATTTGTGTTTACTGTTTTGAGAATACGAGGCATAGTTTCAAGAAATGTGTTTAAGTAATCGAGAAAAACTGTAATATGCATAACTCTTGTTTGTATGGTGGTTAAATGAATTTGACTTCATATAAAAGACACGTACCTTTACATTCTAATAAAGCTGCTATTAGAAGATACAGGAGTTGGAAATGTGAAAGCTGAAAACACTTCATCATATACAGACGCTCACTGCAGGACAGCTGAACTCTATATGAGCACAGGCCACATCACTTCACTTTCACAGAGTTATATCAGTTACTCTGAATTTAATGCGGAAGTAAGAAATATGGGCTAATTATGTGTGAATATAGATACGTTCAGTGTGCTTTTGTATGTGATGAGGAGTTTTCAGACGTCATATTTGCAACTTATAAATCTTATAATAGCACATGTAGGCTATTAAAAAGCTGCTGTTAGATTTAGAGGATGGAAATGCAATATGAAGACTAAAAACACTCCATCAAATAGTTTTGTGTACCTCACTGCAGAACAACTGAATATGAGCACAGCCCACAAGACCTTTTACCTGAACACAGTTGTTTTTGAAGAGCTGAAGTAGATTATTAAAATAATCTAATAGTGCAAATCGTTTATTCAACATATTTAAAGAAATAAACTGTCTCTGTAAACACCTATTGAAAGCTATGGAAGCCCATTTCCGCCACGTAAGAAAAAAATGAATGCCTTAAAAAGTCAAAATTATGACATACTTAAGTCATAATTACGAGATTAAAAAGTCAAAATTATGAGATAAAAAGTCGAAATTATGACTTATAAAGTCGAAATTATGAGATAGGCCTAAAAAGTCGAAATTATGACTTAAGTCATAATTATGAGATAAAAGTCGAAATTATGACTTTACAATTCGAAAATTGACTTGATGACTTTATAAACACATTGGTCACAGGAAAGTGGTCTATAATGATAAACGGGACATTCTGAAATGAGTTAATTTGGCTTAAAACAGTTTGGAGGACCAAGTTCAACACACACCTTTTTAATAAAGCATATACCATTATTTACAGACAAGCAGAATATAGCCCAGAATATGAACGCAACGCGCTGAGCACGTTAACAAGCAGAATCACTGAGAATAAGAGGAATGGCAAGAACAGAAAAAAGCAAAGAGGTACACTTACAGCCACACAGTCTTAGATGAAATCAATATCTCACCAGAGGATGATTAAACAACTGCAAAAACAGAATTACCATATTCACTTATTGCAAACAAGTTTGACTTTATTTCTTTCATATGGTACATGTACAAAGGTTGCTGAAGTCTGTTACCATTATGGTGAATAGTGTTCATTTTCATTGGGCACTTGGCCATTGACAAACTGCTTAACTGCTTATGATTACACTTCTATTAGGCTTTTTTTTTTTTGGTTTTCATATCTCTAAATGTTTTTGTTATGCAATGTACACAAGCTCTTTTTAACTGATTTTAACTGATTCTGTGTATAGATCTCATGAAACAGGAGACAATTCCTTTGATGCTTTGAAAAGTTTTACTAGTTCACCAGTGACACTGATTAATAATGTAATCATAACAAAAGCAATTAAAATTTTCAGTACTACTTTCAGCAGAGGGAGCAAAATAAATTACATAGTTATCATATAATTCAATAAATCATGTTTTAAACATATGTTTTTCCTTTGCATAATTTATGTGTAAAATAGAGAAATATGCAAGAAAAAACTATGTTTGTCCCCAAAACACTACTTGCATACAGACAGCTGGCCTAGTAGGCCTACTGACACTCAACCCTGCAAGACCATGCTGGTGAACCAGCATCACCAGCTCCATTTTGCCTGAGAACAGCATGGATATGCTGGTCCACCAGCTAGACCAGCACTATACCAGCACAAACCAGCCTGGACCAGCACTAACCAGCAATATACCAGCATAAACCAGCACTATATCAGCATAAACCAGCCTGGACCAGCAGGATACCAGCTCTAACCAGCATAAACCAGCCTGGACCAGCTTGGAATCCATGCTGGTTTATGCTGGATTTTTCAGCAGGGCCTTCATCCACCTGCCTCTTCAGAGCCTTCACACGCTGATGAGAGGATAGACAGCACAGATTTCTTCTCTCTGCAAAAACACATACAGCTATGTGCTTGAACCTCAGGGTGTCCTGAAGTGTGTCGGGAGTTGTCTTATACTCTAAGATTGGTCAGGTACTGTGTTTTAATGTGAAATGTTGCAAGGCTCAATGATAATGATTTGCCAAGGGTCAATGCTGCCTCATTTCTGTTTACATTTGTTGATCTTGTAGATTTTATATTAAGCCTTGCAAACTTGTTAATGTTGAAAACATTGTCAGAACGACTGTACGCATCAGTTGGATAAAATGAGTTGAAAATTATAAACAAATCAGTAATGTTTGCATTGTTGCCACTGTTTTCCAGAAAGGGTATTTTTATCCACTTTATTTTTAACATAAGAGTAACTGGATATGGCCATTATTACCTTGAATGTGTGAGACTTACGGTGTCATTTGCATAAGTTATTTCAGCTGTACTATAACAGTCCATTATGCTGCTTGATGCTGCAAAATATTATTTAGCATGTTATTTTAATTCATGACAGCCATAGCCCAGGGATGTTACAGAAGTTATATAATAAAGGGAATAACTTACATCTGTTAAACTGTGGATAGCAATAAAAAATATTATTAAAGAATATTAAAATTACTATCCCTCCACTGAAAGTTCATACCACCAAAACTTTTAATCTTCATAGAAGAGTAAAGAAATCATAAAAAATACATTTATATGAATTGTGAAATGAAATGAGTTTAGTAAAGTCTGTTTATAGCAGTCCCTTTACAGCAAGGTCCTCTAGCTGTTCACTATAAATTTGTATAAAATTATATTTAAGTTTAAATTGTTTTATTTGGTAAAATGATAGCTAGAAAAAAAGTCATACACACATAAAAAAAAAAAGAAAACAATACAACAATCATTTATTTCACAGAATTCTATTGTCGTAAATGTTGTCTGGATTACATGCAGGAGCTTCTGTTTGTTCACACCAGCTGTTGGGAGATAAAGTTCAAAAATGAATTTGGTGGAAAAAAGTAAATAGTTTGAATCGTGCACATTTGCAGATGTATACATACTGTACTTATATATAATGCTTGCCCATGCTATTAAGTAAGATGATACATTCTACAAAACTCTTAAAAATTGCAGTGGAAGCTACATACATATAGCATATATTGTTATAGTTTATACAATTATGCCAGTCAAGAAATGCACACTGGAGAGGAAGTGCAGTATTACATTTGGCATGTTTCACTTTTGTTGTGAATGTGTTTATATGAACTTTGAAGTTTTCAGTAACACATGTAAATTAGTCCAAACCAATATGATGTGACTTTATCCTAGCTTAATTGTTAACATATTTGTATGTAGTTCAGGACAGATATAAAAATGAATGATTTAACTACTGCATCGCAGTAACTTACAGGTGGTCATGGTTTGTGTTATGTTGAACTAAAGAATGCAAAGGCACATCCAACACTGCAAGAAAACAACTTTTATTAAATACACTTGATCAAGCATATTACACATATTTTGTATAAGGATTTACCATGAATATCACTTACCTCCTGAAATTTCAGAATAATACACGGAAGACTGACAGTTCAAATCAACTACAAGACACAAAAATAAGTACTTTACCATCTGATCAATTTACCATCATAACAAAGTTACAGTATTACAGTTTCTTCAATTAATCATCATGATGGCTTTCACGTCTCATTGCAACACACTCAGAAGTTGTGGACTTACTTTGGCTGTCGATTTTGCGTCTTCGTTTTTTGAAATACAGAATGACACAGATGGTCAGTGATATGAGGACACACAGAGACACTACTGTGGTCATCATTACTACTGTCGAATTAGTTATCGCTGTTTCACTCTCGTAATTGTTGTTGTCTTCTGTCTGACCAACCGTACTGTCCTCTGGGGTTGGATCATCTGTGATCATTAGAGAAAAGATAAATGAACATCATCATCTGAGCCAGTCTGATTAAGTAATTTTTTTATCATGCACATGAATTCTGGTATTTGTCTTGTGAATAGTGAAATAGTGGAAAGTGTTTTAAATTTCAAGTGTTTTCATTTTTTCAAGTTGTTATTTTGCAGCCTTATGCTTACTCTCAGGCCATCCAAGATATAAATGAGTGTATTTCTTCATTGCAACAGATTTGGAGAAATTTAGCATTACATGACTTGCTCATCAGTTGCTGTCAGAATGAGAGCCCAAACAGCTGAACATTTTGAATACATTTCTCCAAATCTGTTCAGGTGCAGAAACAAACTCGCATAGGCTACATCTTGGATGGCCTAAGGGTAAGTGCATTTTCTACAGTTTTATATTTCTGGATGAACTATTCCTGTAACTCAGTACTTAGTCGAAGCATCTTCTGCAGCAATTACAGCCTTAAAGGGAACCTATTATGCCCCTTTTTACAATATGTAATATAAGTCTCAGGGTGTTCCCAGAATGTGTCTGTGAAGTTTAAACTCAAAATACCCCATTTATTATATCATTTTGAAAATTCCTATTTTGAGTGGAAGCAGAAACATGCTGTTTTCGTGCATGTCTCATTAAATGCAAATGAGCTGCTGCACCCCGCCCCCTTTTCCAGAATAGAGCTGTGCCTTTATAGCTCACTCAGGGAGAGGTCTCTGCTAATATGGCAGTGTCAGTCAACAGTCATGGGCGGGGTTTGTAAAATGTGACGTCACATTTTATGGATTCTGTGAACGGCTTGTGAGACACTGCTTATGATTTGTGGGGATTTAAAAAAAAAGTGGCGGCCCCGATTTGATGTGACAGGTTTGCACTCCTGGATTTGGGGATTTTCTGCCAATCTTCTCTGCAGATCCTTTTTGGCCATGTCAGGTTGGAGGGGGACTACAGCGGACAGCCCTTTTCAGGTCACTCCAGAGATATTTGCTTGGGTCCAAGTCCAGTCTCTCACTGGGCCACACAAGGATATTCATGAAGTTTTGCATTGCCTTTGCTGTGTGCTTGAATGTCCTGTTGGAAGGTGAAACTGTGGCCCAGTCTGAGGTCTCTGATCCAGGTTTTCATTAAGAATCATTTATCATCTTTGTATTTTTGTTACATTTTTTGTTACATTTGTTACTTTTCTTCTACCCTGACTAGTTCACCAGTAGCCTGTTGCTTGAAAACGAGAAACTTGTTTCTTAAGAGTCCTTTAGCTGTTTTTCATGCGTCATACACTGAGGAGAAGCTTCTGTCTGGCCACTCTGCCAGAGAGCTCAGATCAGAGAAGTGTTGCAGTGATTTTCACACATGATCTGTGAACCCAACCAGAGTGACTGTCATGTCATCTTGGCCTTCTTCTTACCAAAGCTCTTCTCCCCCCATTTGCTCAGTTTGGCTGGGCTACCAGCTGTAGAAAGTGTCCTGGTTGTTCCAAACTTCTTCCATTTAAGAATTTATGGAGGCTGCAGTTTTGGAAGCCTATAATGCAGCAGATCTGTGTTTTAACACAATTGTGTTTCTGCTCTGATATGCATATTCAACTGTTAGACCTTATATAGACAGGTGTGTGTTTTTCTAAATCATATCCATATAATTTAATTTGTCATAGATGTATAGAATTATCTCAAAGATGATCCAGAGAAATGGCATTAATCTAAGCTTAACTTCAAATTTATTTATTTATTTTTTATTTTTTTGCAAAGTTATAACAAGTCAGGGTTGTTTTGCTTTGACATGATATGTTATGAAGTGTAGACTGATGTGGGGAAAAATCATTTAAAAGCATTTAATTAAAAAAGGTCTGAATACTTACTACTGAATAGGGTCTGCATCCACTGTATAATCAAAAAAAAATTTTTTTACAGTACTAAATGTATCTAAAATATATTTAGACAGTAATACAAATGTTAACTCAAGCTTCTTTAAACATTCACACATTCATGCTATTGTATAACCAAACAGGTATTAAAACCCAATGGTTCTCAAAGTACTTTTTGGTTGTGCATTGGCATTCAGTGCCGCTTTCTAATATAACTTCTCTAACCACAGGCTATAATCACCACAACATGACTTAATTTTAATCTAAACCTTAACCTAAGCATCTTTACTTATATGTTTCAACATATTTACTGGATTACCATACCCAAAACATAATTTTAACTAACCCATCACCACAGGTCACATTTTAATAGCAAAACTTAATCTTTCAAATTAATCAATGTCTGTCAGAGAGTCTGCATTGAGGCTTTATAGGGTTAGAAATACTGCATTCCAACGCACCTTTCAGCAGCAGCTTCACTTCATAGCAGGTTTTTTCATTCACTCTGCACTGATACCACAATTCATCCGTGTGGACTGCTTCTCTTATAAGCAGAGATCCGTTTGCTAGTTTTCTCGCTCTCTCATACAGAGGCTTCAGGAGTTTCTCTGTGCTGCTTGAGGGCTTGTTTGGTGACCGATACTGAGATATATCTGTTGATTGATGACCAGTAATGACTTTCCAAGTGACTTGTTCAGTTCTGTTTTGTAGAGGATGTTCAGAGCATGACAGCAACACCGATGAGCCTGGTGTTGGATGGACAGAGTCCAAAGTTTTACACTCTGAAATCAAAGAAACATACTACATTACAATGGGTTACCTGGGGATTATTTGCTTGTTTCAGAAATTTGCATTCTTACCTTTGACCCTCAGGTTAAATCGAGTTGAATGAAGGCAGTCCTGATCCTTGTAGACCTGACAGTCATAAAAGCCATCATCAGATAATCTGATGTCTTTCAGATGAAGTGTAACATTTCCATCCTCTTTCCTCACAGACCATCTCTGGTGCTCTGATGCTGGAGAGATGTCTGGATATATCAGGATGTCTTTATCTTGGTTTTTCTTGTGTAGTTTGACTGTTAGAGACTCCAGCAGGTGGGTTGTGGTTAGGCAATAAATAGACATGCTGTCACCCTGAACACAGTTTATGTTTAACTGATGAACCTGCTTGCAGCGTCTCTGTGTCACCACTGAAAGGAAATAAAGAGCAAAATGAGACATAAACCACTGAGAGAACAGAGACGTGAAAACCACCACATCGCTTACAGTACCAAACAGCATTTACTTTTTATTACGAGTACTTGTAACTCTACTTTTTTAACTGGTTCTACTTCTACATGCATCAATACATTTTAGTGAAAGGCTACAGAGGATAAAAATAAATGTTGCAATTATCTCTCTTTTTTTGTCTATATTCACTAGTTTGTAAATTCGTGTAGTAAGTTGTGTTCAGCAGTGTTTAGTAAAGCCATGGGTAAAGTGGGTAACTTGTCAGACTTCCAAAAAGGGCAAATCATGAGTGTCTGTAACATTCAAAGAAAAGAAAAGTGGTCGAAAAGTGAAAGTGAATGATAGAGACCGTCAAACACTAAGAAGGACTGTCTAAACAACACAGAACTACTGCAGCAAAGGGACAGAAAACCTCAGGATTCACATTTGAGGACATGTTTCCCCAAAATCTACCCACAGAGAACTTCATAAAGAAAAAATCCATGAAAGAGCGGAAACTGCTAAAACTTTAATCACAGACACTGATGCTAAAATGGGGAAAAGATGGTGTCATAATCATAAGTCCTGGACAGTTGGAGAACCAAGATGAACTTCATCATCTGCCCCGTCAGACAAATCACCTGACTAGAATATCAAACCACTGTGGATAGTTTTGAAGAGAGGTGTGAGAAGATGATTCTCTGAAGCTACTGACAGATGTTTTGATAGACGACGTTTGACTGCGGAGACTAGTCCAAAGTTGTATAAACCTGTTTGAAGAAGGTTGGAGGCTGAATTAAAGGCAAAGCGTTGTTAAACCGCTTAGTAAAGAAATACTGCCTATTTCCCATCATTTTGTCTAGCTCTAACATATATACATTTTCTACAGATGTATTGTCTATACTTCCTGTGAACCAAAGAAACCAGTGATGTTGTCAGTGTAATAATATTTAATTAGTTGAGTAATGCAGTTTAACCTTTGCACATCAATGTTTATTAAAACAGCCCAGTAACATTTTCTTACTTTAAAAATGCATATATTTTTATACCAAAAAAAAAAAAAAAAAAGGTTAACAGCAACTTCCAAATTGCAAGTCCACTACAAACATATGAATGACAACATTTGACATGCCACATTTACACACCTGTAGTACATTATTTTGTGTGGTGGTTAAATGAATTTTACTTCATATAAAATACACTTACCTTTGCATTCTGATAAACATGCTATTAGAAGATACAGGAGTTGGAAATGTGAAAGCTTAAAACTCCTCATCATATCCAGATGCTCACTGCAGGACAGCTGAACTCTATATGAGCACAGGCCACATCACTTCACTTTCACAAAGTTCTTTTCAGCTACTCCAAATTTAATGCGGAAGTAGGAAAGTATGGTCTACTCTTGTGCTCATTTAGAGGCCTTATATTTGAAAGCAGCTATTACAATTTTTAGAAGATGGAAATATAACGACTAAAAACTGCCCAATTACAAAGACATTTCGAGTAGCTCACTGCAAAACATCTGAATATGAGCACAGGCCACAATACCTTTTACATTCACACAGTTGTTTTTGAAGTGCCAAAATAGGAAATGTGATCTATGTAAAATGTGAAAGACGCACAATGATAATATATTCAACATACTTAAAAAGATATAAACTTGGCCAGAATGTATTAAAATGTTTGGTGTTTAGTACTGTTGCTGTCACTGCTGCTGTCAGTATTGCCATTTGTATAAGAACAAATACAATTTGAAGGTCCAGAATCCAACACTCAGTCTGTACCATATGTCTATGACACACATCAGCTACAGTACTCTCTACTGTACTCTACTCTCTCTCTCTCTCTATGCTAAATGGATTTTTGGAGAAATGTTCTCCTCTGTGTTCATTTCTTCTTCTAGAACTGATAGATGAATAAAGCCATGTCTGAAATCTATTTGACTCACTGAAAATTAAAATGTCAGGTGTTTTCAAGTGCGTGAAAAGCTGTCGTCCTGTTTTATAGATGATTTAACCTTAGATTATACATCTGATTTATAATTATGGTGATGTGGTGTAGCAGTTAAAGCTCAAAAGTGGAAACCAGAAGACTGCAGTTTCTATTATCAATTTTAAATCAGGACTGAAGTTACTGTGTGTTCAGAAATTAAGCCTCAATGAAGAGGAATGCCAGATTCCTCTCTCGGTCTTCAGCAGGAACTGGTCTGTAGGTTGCTCTCGGTGAGGATGGAGGTTATGCTGGAATGATCGTACAATCCATCATCATCATCATCATCATCATCATCATCAGAGCTGAGCACTGAAGACTCCAGAGCTGACTGTTGGGCCTGCTGGCTCTTCCTCCTGTCTTGTGGGAAAAAAAGCAATACAATAAAAGTGATACAGACAGTAGTGTCTAAGAAAAAAAAAAAAATGTTTAAGACTTTAAATCGTATGTATTTATTTTTTTACTATTATTTGGAAGAGCCATGGCACACTAGGGCACCTCGAAGCAAACTTAAGTGGGCTGCGGGATGAAATAATTGTAATTAATATATTATTAATATAATAATATGAATAATACTATTACAGTTTTTTTACAATCTCATAAGACACTTTTTTGCAAAACACAACACACCATTCTCTATGTAACACACAAAAATCTTACAGGAAGTATCTTGATTTCCTTTTTCAAAAACAATCAAAATGCTACACTAATCCATCAGTCCCTCACACTAACCCCTCACATGTGCAAACACTCATTACTTTACTTAAAGGCATAGTAAGGGATTTCTGGTAGCCAATGTTTATATTTGAAATCACCAAAACAATCACGCCCCGACCCCAAAAGGGTCTTGCCCCTATTTTGATAGCTCCGCCCCACACATACACCTTTCTGTCGCTCGGCTCGGCTAATGTCCGTCCCATGCACTGAACGCGCTCTCCTCCACATCATGAGTAGACACGCCCCTTATTGCTGATTGGCTACAAGTTTGTTTCGCGATTCGGCCCGAATCAGTTTTTAAAGCGTTTTTGAAAAATCACTTACTATGCCTTTAACACCAACCGATCATGGCTTTAGAATAGGCCTATAAATACACATCTACTCAACTACACATGCTTGATGTATTTCTTTTCTTTCGTAATGTGTAATATTGTATTCACAACCACAAATGCTTACAGTAAAAAAAGTTTGGTTTTTATCTTGCTTTCGTGTTTACCGTGAATTTTTCATAATCTCTGCCAATTCTTCCACCCTAATGTGGCCGTCTTGCTATTGTAAACAAGATTCTCTTCCACTCTTATTTTGGTGTTCGTTTGAACTTTCAAACTGATTATGGTGGCCACAGAGAATCTGTTCAAATTAGGTTGAACTCTTTGTGCTGCCTCTGTCATTCCATGAACAAGAACATGGTCTATCACAGTAGCTCTGATTTCATCTATAATGACTGTACTTGGTCTTACTATTCCTCATCCTCCTCTTCATCCACCTCGTATACACACTCTTCCTCTCAGATTGATGGATACACCCATGCCATCTGTGCACTTTGTACTTACTTATATTTTGTATATTCATGTATTTAGAAACAAGTGTGAGCAATTTTGAATTATTGTGTGTAAACAATGACAACCGTGTTGCATTTGTGCTTAACTTTTTCTTTCTTGTGTTTAGGGTTTTGCATGACAAGTTCATCACAGTGCAAACTGTGTCTTAGTGAGTGAGAATGTTTAGAGTTTTGCTTGTTTAAGGTTTTGCAGAAATAATTATTTATTTGACAAATTGGTTTAGGCTATTGAGAATTTGGTTTAGAGAATGGGGTTTAGTGTCTTGGCAAATGTGAAAAACGTCTATATGTTACGCATGTGGTTCCCCGAGGGAATGAGACGCTATGTCGAAACGCCTTCAGTGTGACCACGCTCTGAATCACATGTGTAATCAGTCCAATGGATGGGCGAGACATCACAGATGGGGTGACGTTGTTCAGCCACTTAGCATAAGCTTCTCCTGGCCGGAGGCCTCAGCCTCAGCGCACCGCGGAGGAAACATGTAACTAGTGGGTCTCTCCCGAAAGACCGACCACCGAGTGGTGTGTAGTAAGCAGCTAGGACCGCCATGGAAACCTTCAAGGTGGAGTGGGATAACCCTGCGGTAAACTGTACCTGCAAGAATTATTTAGTAAGATGGCGCCGACGCTGATGGCTGTCTCCGTGGCGTGCTCCGCAGTTGTTTTTATGTTTTTGTTAGTTTGTCCTGTCTTAAGTTATATCCCTGCAAACAGTTTCACCAGAGACGAATTGCTGGACATTCGGAAGTACACACTACCCGATATTTCACGGGTTTTTGATTATTCTGATGTTTTGCTGGACATTGTAGTCGGGGGAGCTGCGGCGCTGATCAACCGCTTCAGGACGCGCAGACGGGGGAAGAGAGCCGGCGCACTCGTGAAGCTCAGGCAGCGCGGATTCAGAACGCCGTTGCCAAGCATCCATCTGGCAAATCTCCGCTCTCTACCCAACAAAACGGACGAACTTCTTCTGCTCTCCCGGACAAATAAGGATTTTTCAAACTCTGCTGCTCTGTGTTTCACGGAAACCTGGCTGAAAGACGCCATTCCGGACAGCGCGTTGAGTCTCCCGGGCTTTCAGCTGTTTAGAGCAGATCGCGACGCAGAATCAACGGGGAAATCGCGCGGCGGCGGGACATGCTTTTACATCAATGAGAGGTGGTGTACAGACGTAACTGTGTTAAAGAAGATGTGCTGTTCAGATCTAGAAGTGCTCTTCATTAACTGTAAGCCATTCTACTTGCCGCGGGGAGTTTTGCTCGTACATTCTCGTCAGTATTTACATTCCTCCGCAAGCACACGTGAGCTCCGCTTTACAGAAACTCGCTGATAAGATCACAGACACAAAACAACAACACCCGGACTCTGTTTTAATCATTCTCGGGGACTTTAATAAAGCAAATCTCTCCCGTGAACTGCCAAAATACAGACAGCACATCACATGTCCCACCAGAGACAGTAATATATTGGATCACTGTTACACCACAATAAAGAATGCATATCACTCTGTTCCACGGGCAGCTTTGGGGCTCTCTGATCACTGTTTAGTTCATCTAATACCGACCTACAGGCAGAAACTGAAATCAGCTAAACCTGTATTAAGGACTGTAAAAAGATGGACTAATGAAGCAGAGCAGGATTTACAAGCTTGTTTTGACCTCACTGATTGGAGCGTCTTTGAAGCTGCTGCCACCGATCTGGACGAGCTCACAGAGACTGTAACATCTTATATCAGTTTCTGTGAAGACATGTGCATTCCTACCAGGACTCATTTAACTTACAACAATGACAAACCATGGTTCACTGCAAAACTCAGACAGCTCCGTCAGGCCAAAGAAGATGCTCACAGGAAGGGGAATAATGTCTTGTATAAACAGGCTAAATACACACTGGAAAAGGAGATCAGAGTGGCAAAGAGGAATTATTCTGAAAAAATAAGGACTCAGTTCACTTCCAGCGACTCGGCATCAGTGTGGAAAAGTCTAAAAGAAATCACCAACTACAAGACACCATCCCCCAGCACTGCGGAGAATCAACAACTGGCAGACGATCTGAACGAGTTCTACTGCAGGTTTGAAAAAACACCCCACACCCGCCCTGAACACCTCTCCACACAACCATTCACACCTCCAGCAACCCCCCTCTCCCCCACACCTGCAATTCAGATCAGTGAAGACGAGGTGCGCCAGGTCTTCCGGAAGCAGAAAAGGAAAAAAGCACCAGGCCCAGACTGTGTTACACCAGTCTGTCTGAAATCCTGTGCTGACCAGCTGGCCCCCATCTTCACACAGATCTTCAACAGATCACTGGAGCTGTGCGAAGTCCCTTCATGCTTCAAACGCTCCACCATCATCCCCGTCCCAAAGAAACCCAAAATTACGGGACTTAATGACTACAGACCTGTGGCTCTAACGTCTGTGGTCATGAAGTCTTTTGAAAAACTGGTGCTGGCCCACCTGAAGGACATCACTGGACCCTTGCTGGATCCTCTTCAGTTTGCCTACAGAGCAAACAGGTCTGTGGACGATGCAGTAAACATGGGACTGCATTATGTTCTGCAACATCTAGACAGACCAGGGACTTATGTGAGGATCCTGTTCGTGGACTTCAGCTCGGCCTTTAACACTATCATCCCAAACCTCCTCCTGCCCAAACTATCTCAGCTCTCCGTGCCCACCTCCGTCTGTCAGTGGATCAACAGCTTCCTGACAGACAGGCAGCAGCTAGTGAGG